CACTTCCTGTGTGAAATTTTAAAAGATGGCAGCTTACTGGAATTGAGCATCACATTTCTAAGTGATCAAATTTGACCATATCAAAACATTTTTGCGTGTTTTGCTAAAGATGGCAAGCATATATATGGTTATAGCTACCATATGAGGAGAGAGATGGTTTGGCAAGGAATATTCCTTTAAAAAGAGAATCAGATATAGCAAGCAGGCTAAACAAAAAATTGTCTCAATTTTAGAATATTTTTGGCTCATGTCATTCCTTGTCATGTCTATTTTCTAAAAATCACAAAAGTGCATACTTTTTTCAAGGAAAACTAAAGATTTTTACAATAATATATTATTTTTCTATATGAATGGTTACCATTCTTATTATTTTGGAAAATTTAAACAATTTCCACCCATTTTTAAGCTTTTAATCATGAATAACTTCACCAATTTATAACACATTGTGAATCTTTTGGGAGATATTGTATTTGATATTGTAAGGAATAGATTGGTAGGTCAGTTATAAAAGTTGCTTTTAAATTTGTCACCCCCTATAGATCTGATTCTGCCTTTAACTTCGAGCCAAATTATTATCCACAACGTGACTTATAAGTAGGTGTAAATCGGGAAATAAAAAAATCTTACCGAAACCTAGTCCCGGAGGAAGTTCCGCCATGATACACCGACGATACGTCTGTGTAATTAGGTGGGTAGCAGTGAAGTTGAGTATAGAAAGTCAAACGTCTGCTTTCGTATTCTTAATCAGGGCCGTCAGATGGGGGACGGTGCGTTGGGTGCACCCCCTTTGGCACCCTCAGCAAATATTTTGAATCATTTTTTGGAAATATAAGAGAAAAAAAATCGTTATTGTCTCATACACTTTGAAAGTGCCCAGAAATATAGTTTTTGGTTTGGGGACCGGTTAACGTACCACCCTCCCTCTGGTCTACGGGCATGCAGAATTGTATAGTGACTATAGACATACATCTATCTGCAATAAAAACTATTTTTATCAAACTTTTATTACGCAGAAATATATTTTTATTAGACTACATGCATTGACGCACGTTAAATTTGCTTTTCTACACTCCAATTGTGAGAATGCCTATATTTTTCGAATGCTTTTATTGCGGAACCCTACTAAAATACGTCGGTGAAAAATCTAAATCATAATCGTTTGCACTTACCACAAAATGGCCAAATTGTTTATCCATTGGATAACATGGACAGTCTGACCGAAAGTATAAAGAAAGGTCTTAATGCACACACTATGAATTCACATACATGTACGTACACGCGTGAATAAATTGCTGGTATTTCAGTAAATTATGTTTTTTAAAATTATTTGAAATAAAAAAACTGTTTTTTGTTCTTTTATTGTGATTTTCGTGAAGCCCAATTGAACTATACAGTAGTCAAGCTCGTCATTACGCAGCCTCAAACTAGTCATTACGTCATCTGCATGCTACCTGTGTATATGAGACTTTTACAACTTATGGTATGGAATTAAATGCATTTTAACAAGACAAATATATTTAGGTACTATACTTTATCTTAATGGACATACTTTGGGACTGAATTTCCTTACATCTCAGTGCATTTAAAAAAAGAAACAAAATACTTTGGGACTTATTTCCTCATATCAATGCATTAAAACAGGACAAATATATTGAGGTACTGTACTTTATCTCGGTGGATTGAATTAAAACACACATTCTTTGGGGACTGAATTTCCTTATATCAATGTATTTAAACAAGACAAATATATTTAGGGACTAAAACAGTTTATTTCTAGACAACAATTTAGCTCAGATATTACCCTATAAATACAATTACTATATGACTTCCATAAAGCTTTAAAACAAATGTTTTACATTTTATCATATCTCAGTCATGACTATGTCTCAATGATGACAATGCATCAACGATTTCAATGATGAAAATGCATCATTGATGACTAACCGGTTTGTGATCAATGATGATATTTATTTGATTTTCTTAAATCGTGCTCAAACAAATCTATTATATTTTGCAAACATATTTTAACATTCACAATCACCTGATTTACTAATTACCAATGGCACTGAATATCAAGATTAGTGAATATAACATAAATACATGTACAATATGTACCAATATAACCAATTATGATGACTTGTGACCATGTAATTAACTTTACAGTGTTATTGTGTATTAAGCGAAATCTCACTGGCAAATAGAACCAAAATATCATCTGTAAAATTAAAAAATCTAAGAATTTTTTTTGAGAAAATTCTCGAATTTTGGATATTTTGTAAAAATGGTAAAATAGGATAGAAATCAGTATACTCTACTTTTTTTGTAATTTGCATTTTGTTTGAAAAAAAGGATATGTTCCATAATTTCGATTCATTTCAAAATATGGTATCGCATGAAAAATCTGGTTTGTCCAAAACAGGAAAGAATACAGAATAACGATAGTTCTATTTACCATTGGATAAAAAAGTCCACAAATTGAAGTTGAATAGTATTTCATATGCCCATAACAAAAAATCATGGCGGTCATGCCTATTTCAAGCTTTGGACGCCTATTGCTTTTACACACCTTTCACCACCATAATTTTTTATCAGGGTAATGATAATGGGAACATCAAACCAGCGTGTACCTCATTATATCAAACAGCAGTGCTAAAGTAGACTACGCTAGCTCTAACATTTTGATACTGAACACATACCAACAAGAACCTGGTATCGTTATTTAGGAATGAAACCCAGCTCCTAAATAATTAACTAAGTATTAACATATTCAGAGGTGTTTGAAATGTTATTATACATGTTATAGCATAACATATGCTCCTCAGTAATCTGAATTTTTCACTGACTTGTTTTTGATACTTAAAAACTCAAATTTAGAGTGAATAAAACCAATATTGATCTTCAAACTTTTTAGGGAAAGGAAATGATATCCAGTGATTCCTAATATATTTAATGTGTCATAGCAAAACATACAGGGTGTCCCAAACATATGACTTAATGGGCATCCTGTATGGTTTTCTCAAATACCGATACAATTCTGTCATAGCTGTTTGTCCAAATCAAAACAATGAAGAGTTCTAAATGATATCAATACAAGTTAAAACGACAGGTCGCAAAACGTAAAATATCACGATTCACTGGTGCAGGCTATGTGATTACGCATATTTGCAGTAAATTGTTAATAATTTTCAAGATCACACCCACCAATAAAAAATCCTTTATTTCCAAATATGGAAACAAAGACACATTTCATGAGTGGATATCCTCCCAAAACAACATAATAATTTCAAAAATAAATTTGTATTCTATAATACACTGGACTATATACTGTATACTGCCATATTTTGATTGAATACAATATATTTTGATTGAATACAATAAATAGAGCTACACATACCTCATGCACACTTGTGTTTACTTCTCAGATCTATATACAGGATGATTCTTAATCTAAACACTATTATATCCTTTAATAACAGAGACATTGCCTGGATCTATAATAGTAAGGTGAGGTAAATTTAAATAGGGGAGGCAAATTTGAATTGACGATCAAATTCAAGCAAAAATGCTATTATATTACTATGTGATATAATTTCACAGTTTTAATTAAACAACATTTCTGATTAATATTTTTGGTTTGGACATTGCCTCGCCTGCCATGGCCATGTATAATATAACAAGTGTCAAAAATTTTGGATTTCCAGGAGATTGTCCAAAAAGTGTTTCTATTATTTGATTTTTAGTTATCAAAACAATTCCAAAATAATCAGTCAAATAATCCTTCTTTCAAAAGGAAGTAAAACATTTCCAAATAATTACAAAAATTCAGAATTTCAAACTTTTTGTCTGAGAGAATCCCTTACTAGCCAGTCAAAAAACTCCAGGATTTCTAAATACAAACAAATAACTGAATCTGTCTTTTTTCTTTCTTAAAACCGAAAGTAACAATGTAAATTTACTTTTTAACATTAAATTTTTGCTTTAACATTTTTCCATCTCATACTCAGAGTTTAAAACCGAAAGTAACGAAAGAAACAATGTAAATTTAGTTGTTTAACATTAAATTTTTTTCTATCTCGTACCCACATAAATGCAGCGTTTAAGTAGCATATAAGTTTATAACTGAACCATGTCTACTAGAGAACCCCAAGAAAACACAGCTAATTAAATAGACTAATAATTAGCCTTATTGAACTAATAAATAGCCTAATTACAAATTAATTGTGTTAAGAAATCAAACTTTTGTTCAATTTTCACATTTCTTGGAGTTCTGTTTTGACGATTTATTTGTTTTATATACATGTTTATGAATAATAGTGATGTACATTTGAAACTATGTTACAACAGATGTCAGGTTAAGATGTCAGGTGTCATGGACTAATGTGACATAAATTAAGGCCCACATATTCACAATAAGTACAAATTCTTAAATTACTATTCTAAGCTTTTACCTAATTGTCCTGTCCCTAATTTGTTCAATTTTCTTCGAAGCTCTCTAAAACATTTAGATACTTTGACCCTATTTTTTTGGAATGCTTCTTGGCCAAAAAATCCAAAATAACTTTTTTAAGAAAACACATGCAGACAGACTGTCATGGAATGCAGATTTGAAAGAAAAATCTTTTTTTTGGAATTATATTACGGAATGCTCCCATTTGTTCCCAAAAATGTCCAATGAATGCTCCCCCAATCCAGCTAGCTAAAATAAATGCACCTAAACTACGAGATTCTATACGATGTCCCCGCCAGATCTTTTATACAAAAATGTTTCATAATGTCCATCAAAAAATGTAATCTTCAGAAAATATTCCCTATAAGAAACACCCATTTAATAATCCAAAATCAGGGTAGAAACCCCAATAAAAGATATAAGTACTAAATAAAATATATAAGAAGATAAAGAGTCAATAACTTCAAAAAAATTGACAAACCTTTAGATACTTTTAGAGCAATTTGGCATGCTAAAATTTTAAGAAAAAAATTAGGCCTTTTAGTAAGTTAATCCATTGAAATGTGACAACCATATATGGTGTCACCAATGTTAATTTATGTCCATTATATATTATTTTGTACATGGCTATATATACAGCTTTTCAACTAGATCTTTGTTAAAAATAACACCTGATGTAGTTTCCAAATAGATTAATTAATTAATAATTCATTTGTTATTTTGTTTTTTTGTGCATTTCAATTAATAGTCAACAAAGATCTAGTGAAACATCTGTAGCTTGGGTATTTATTTACAATTTGTCTTACACTCTACATAGATATTGCACTTTCTCACCATGGTAACAAGCACTGCATCACCATGGCAACTAACAACAACACACTTTAAACTTTATCACCATGGTACCTAACAATACACTTGAAATTGACCTCCTTGGCAACACAATAACTTTTAAGTTCATCACCATGGTAACTTAACAAACACTTGAATACACATCATCATTGCCATTAAACGAATTCAACAGAAAGTTCATGTGTCAAAATAACTGAGAATGAATTGCTTAACAATTTACATTACACTCCCAGTTTTTCCTATTGCACATTCTAAACCTGAATTCAAATGGGGGGAGGGGGGTCTGCAATAGTATACAGTACACATCACACTAAATCAGGAAAGGTGGAATTCCTGTCAGACCCCCTGCAATGATGTCAGACCCCCCTGTTATGATGTCAGACCCCCCTGTAATGAAGTAAGACCCCCCTGGAATTATGTCAGACCCCCCTGCAATGGTGGTTCAGTTTATTAAATACCCCTACTGGTGGATCCAACAGCCTATAGATGGCATTACCACGCAAATCAATCATTGAGTCTATGGGCTATGACACATGATTATTAACCATTATTATTAACCATTTAAGAACAAATTCTTCAACTATACACTTATGCTTCTACAATCAACACACAAGTTTCTGTTGCTTTGCTGTGTTGCTTTACTGTGTTGCTTTACTGTGTTGCTTTGCTTTCCATTGTTTTCTTGTGTGTCATCCTTGAACACATCATCATTTTTTGGTCTCCGACACATGACTGTTTTTGCTTGCACAAACGAGGTAAAGTTTCGTTTTTTGGCATAGAGAAATTCCAACATACTAAAAGTGATTATAATTTCTACGTATACGATGTAAGGTACACTATCGCAATTCATGTGATAACTCTAAGAGATTTTGTGATATCGCTCCCTTAAGTTCAGCCTTCACCTTTTTTGGGAATCAAATAATGGCCTCTCCCAATGATGTCATCATGGATTTTCATGTTCATGAATGCTCCCTCTCCATGTAAAATAAATGACCAAATAAGGTGATAAGACTATTCAATGCCTTATATGGTAATGACTTAGAAGTGATAGATAGAACAGTGTGTTATCCATATGTCCATCTGCTTAAGTATCCCATAATGCACCCTGAGTGCTTATTTCTCGGGCATTTCCTGTAGCGTGTGCCACTGAGCGATTGGACGACGTGGATTGGCCAGCATATCGCTCCAATGACGTAACTCTGTACCCGATGCCTGGCAACCAAGGACAACACGTCCGATTGGCTCAGATGTTCCGATACGATCATAATCCACGACAGTCACGATCAGCGTAACTTTCTGTAAAGCAAAAAAATATAACTATGATTGTTATATCTAAAAAATTAATCATATTTTAACTGATTTATAATAAAATTGGTACAATAGCCAATCAAATGATGCTACCTATTTGAAACAAAAATCTGAAATGAAATGAATTGAAAAATTAATGTCTTAACGAAACAACATTTAGTAACATGCCCATATTTGGGAAAAATATGCAATATATGTAAACATGGAAGAATGAACGCAATGAGCGTGAACAATTTTTAATTGTTTTTTTAACAATTTGTAGAGTGTCAAGCTGCAGAAGTGAACAATTCAGTTAATAGTGAAATATTTTGAATGAGAATTTTATATTTTGAATAACAATTAGTTTGGGTCTTTTTGATTTTGATAAAAATGATGAAAATAAAAATTTAAAAAGCGCTCAAGTTGATGAAACTTCTTCAAATCTTTCTCATAATTACCCATTAATGTTTTATATATATGTGTTATATATATATGTTTTTAATATCTTTTCTGATAATAAAAATAATGTGCAAGTACAAATCTACAAGTCAGTATTTGATAATTCAAACAAACCATTCGTTGCAATTCAAAATGTAAAATTATAATAAGTTGCAAATGTGCAGGTAGACATGCTCGATGGCATTGTGTCTGAATACAGATGTGGAGAAATATAATTGCCCCCCCCCCTCCATTCTCTTCCAATATAGCCAAATTTGAAAATGCTGATGCTTAAGTTTACCTTTGATACAACATCCTCAAGGGTAATTTTTAACCCTTCTCTAGAATCATTTCTTAAGGGTAATTCTTAACCCTTCCCACAATTTTTTTTTTATTCCTTTTTTTTTCATAGAAAAACATTTATATTTCCACAACTGTCAATATTTAGACATGTTTCCAAAGTAAATAAAAAATTGTTCAATACTGCAATAGAATATTTTGGTAAAAAAGATAGCATATGCAGAATGAAATTCATGTAAGCCATAGATCTACAAATACATGTCAGTAGACCTTTGAATCACCCCCAAAATGCAATCTGATTTTTCGATGCCGTTTCGGTGCCAAAGTTCGGTGCCGTTTCGGAACCAAATGGACTGAGTAGTCCGGTGGCAAATTTTAGTGTCGAAAGGTTTCGGTGCTGGAATGGTGCCGAAACAGAACCAAATTTTTTCAATGCCGAAACGGCGCCAAATTATATCGGCTGTGTATATGAGTTGTGGGTGATTTAATATTTTAAGTTTTCTTAAATTCTAGCCTGTTGATGTGCCAGTCTCAGTTTTAAGAATAGCAAACATTAGCATCTCATTCATTAAATCACCAACAATTCATTGTTTTTGTGGCATCACCAAGGTGATATCTTTTGGTGTGTCAAATTAAAAAGTGATTTATTTATGATGCTATGAAAATATTGTCAAAGAGGAGACATCATTGGGGTGACATCTTTAATTAGCTACTGCTTGTTGTCTTGGCAACACAGGACAACATTGTGTAAGTTCCTTTGACAACAAAGGACAACACCACAGTAGAGATTATAATTACATGTTCTTGTTACGTTGAAAACAATAGGCAACACCATAGATTAAATTATCTTAACTTTATATTGTCCTTACAACAAAAGGCAACATTAGTTTATTTTCACTACATGTTGCCATGACAACATGTGGACACATCTTCATCCAAATTACACTGATTGCTTGATGTAGTGACAACACAAATCAAACAAAAAACAACTCATGTTTTCCTTTAAAGCAAGATGTCACCCCAGGTGATAAAGACATAAACCCTCTTCCAAACAATGACATTTTAAAGGTCCTGTGTCAATATTTTTTCATATTATTATTCATACTTTACATAGGGCCTTTAAAGAAACCACCCAAAATGTCTAGAAACAACTTCCTCCAAAAACACACCAAGAAAACTTTTTATTCTTTCGAGAAAATTATTTTTAAGTAGTGTAGAAAAAAATAACTTCCTCCAATTCACATCAAGAAAATGGTATATTCTTATAAGAACATAATAATTATGACAAGTAAAAATTATTAATTTTGTGAAGAAAATCGCAATGAGACAAGCATAATAGTAAAAAAGACTTATTTCAGAACACCTCTCTGTAATAAACACTTTAGGTAAAGACCTTTTCAGATTAAACACCTAATCAGAGTTTTTAGAGTGAGTACCTCCAAAAAATAAATTTTTTCACATATTAAAGACTATTAGGCTATATGCTCAAACAACCCTATTTACTTGACACCCGTTACTTTTAGACATTAACACAGATTAGTTTATAAATTCACCATGTGCTTGTCATGCAAATTTCTTAACTTTGGCATTCAATATAAATATATTGTAATTTATTGGTTGCCATGGCAACTATGTCTCTTAACCCTGGCTCAATATCTCCAAATATTATATATCTATGGATAGAAAAAATAACTGATTTGTGGATAATATCTTGACAATGTTTGGAGATATTAACCCAGTTTAGTGCAAAAAATACAATGTGATCAAAATTCCAATTCCGAAAAAGGAATAAAATATCAATTTTATTTTGTGAAATTAACCATTATCTTTTATTGTAATGATCAGGTGTATCGTTTACTTGCTTATAAGCTCAGAATTTTTGAAGTCGATTGTAAACATTTATATTAATGACATTATATCCAACTGATTTAGAATCTTATATATTTATTGTATGAATTTAATGACATTCGGCTTACTTAAATTAATCAAAAGACAAAATGATTAATATGCTATCACAATTTTACAGTGGTTATAAGAAAAGTACTTTTTTTTAAACTTTTACTGAAGTTTGATCACACGTTTAAAGACATGAGGCTTTGATAATTTAAAATTCAAACACAGGGCTCAAAAATGAAACAAAAAACATATGTTTGCATGGCCCTGTGTTTGATTTTGGTGACAATACAATAAACACAACAACGCCTCCAATTTTCACGGCAACCAATGAAATACAAAAAGAAATCCAGCATATGAAATGTTGTACAACAAACTGTGAAAGTTGTAAAAGATGAAAATGTTGTAAATTATGAAAATGACAACAGACAAAATCCTAAAAATGCGAAGTGTGGCCGCCTTCGATTGCGTAAACCTACCGGTGACTACATGTTCCCATAGAAAAAAAGAAATTCAATGTTAGTAGAACATACGGCACTACATACCACAATACAAATATAATATACACAGCACATATATAATGTTAAAAAGCCAGCCAACACCCAAATGGTACCCTTTGCATTTGTTCAACTTCACTTCTTAAAAGAGAGCTTCGTCTTCACTCCTTCAGTTCACAATAAATCTCTGATCTCACCGAGCCAATCAGAGATCGTCATCGAAATACAGACGACTTTCTATATGGTCATTTCCTATTACATCACCGCATAGTTAATGAGCACGTATTTAGCATGCATTCTTTCCACTTCGCTGATTGGTTGAGAAAGGGTCAGCGTGGACGATTTGGAATGATGTATTACCTGGGCTGACACAGGCACCAATCTTCAGGACGGGGGTACTAAACTGTAATATAGTCTATACTAGGCAGAGGGTAGTTTATAACTAGACTCTGCGCGCAGGGTACCCAAATGGGGGAGGGTAAGCTTGATTAGGGTCAATAATTAACCCTTTCCTCGACAAAATGACCTGAAATGCCCCTCTTGGAATCAGCAAACATTTTTGTATAATGATTACAATTTGTAAAGAAATTGATAAGCATAATATAAAACATTAACACCTTAAATAATTTGTTCAAGAATTAAGTACCATAGTGACTGACTGTACCATAGTGACTGTAATAACGATCAAATGTAATAAAATATACATGTACCAAACATTATAGAAAACATACATGTAACAAACATTATGAAGATTATAATTCTGTAACTACTAAATAAGATAGAAAGTGGAAATTATTTATCAGCGGGTCAATACAGAAAACCTTCTATACTGTTTATAAAGGAAAATGAGATACAGGGTGTCCTGTTAAAAGCAACTGGTTTTCAGAAAATCCACCCATATTTTCCAAAGAGAAATCTTATGACTTTTGGGACACTCTGCATCATGCAAAACTGTTTGTTGTGATTTCACATGTGTTCCTATAGTGATGTTTCTATAGTGATGGTTGGGTGCAACTAGAGGGTACAACTACTTCATGGGGTACAAGCGATTAAAACACAACCTAAACACATTTGTTAGTATTGCAAAAACACAGGTTAGTATTATAAAACATGGGTCAGTATTGTGAAATACATGCTAATATTATAAATTCATGTTAGTATTGTAAAATATTTATTATAGTACTGCAAAATATATAGATTAAAATATGTGATAGTATTGTAAAATACTGGCAAGTATTATAAAATACAATACACCTAAATTGAAAGAAGGACGAGTAAACTTTGGAAGTCATCTAAATCTGCTCGGATTGACATACAGGGTGTCCAAAAACAGAAGCAAAGAAGAGTTAATTTACTTGGTCAATCTTGAATATTCTGCCTTGAAATTTCAGAATTATTTAGTTCATTCAATCTGACTTTTGAAAGTTGCAGTACCTTCCAAAACATACAGGCACCCCTCCTCTCTTTATCAAATTGTGCATAGATTAGTCCTTTTTGGACATCCTGTACTAAAGTAAAGTCATTCCAGTTTAAGGCTGACAGGGTAGAATGACTTATGAACTTTTACATCCAAGTTTTTATATGAAGACTGGCCTAAAAGTCACCTACTCTGACTGCCTTAATGTTTACAATATTGATAGAAGAAGGATATTGAAATACAAGAGTATACTATGTACATGCTATTAACATCCTATTAACATGTATTTATATTACTAACATCCTATAAACATGCATTTATATTATTTACATGCTATTAACATCCTATTCACATGTATTTATACTATTTACATACTATTAACATCAGCTATATTATTTACATGCTATTAACATGCATTTACTACATATAAAAACATGTAGAAAATATGAAGTAACATGTCATATTAGTCATTAAATATAGAAAATATATATTTGACAGTGCATTGTATTTGACAGTACTTTGTGTTTGACAGTACTTTGTATTTGACAGAGCTTTTTATTTGACAGTACTTTGTATTTGACAGTGCTTTGTATTTGCCAGTACTTTGTATTGACAGTGCTTTGTATTTGACAGTACTTTGTATTTGACAGTGCTTTGTATTTGACAGTGCTTTTATTTGACAGTATTTTGTATTTGACAGTGCATTGTATTTGACAGTGCTTTGTATTTGACAGTGCTTTGTATTTGACAGTGCTTTGTATTTGACAGTATTTTGTATTTGACAGTGCATTGTATTTGACAGTACTTTGTATTTGACAGTGCTTTGTATTTGACAGTACTTTGTATTTGACAGTGCTTTGTATTTGCCAGTACTTTGTATTTGACAGTGCTTTGTATTTGACAGTATTTTGTATTTGACAGTGCATTGTATTTGACAGTACTTTGTATTTGACAGTGCTTCATATTTTCGTTCATGGTTTACATTAAAAGCGATATATTTATGAAAAATTGGCTATGGCAGTCATGCTTATTCTAAGGTTTTCTCTCTGAAAATTGAATGAAGACTCTAATTTTCTGGCATTTCTATGCCATTGCGAGTATTATGTGCACAGGCCCCTAGCCAGGAATTGCCAGGGGGTGTTCACTTTTTTCATGAAATTTGAAAAATATTGGCCAGGGGGACTGTGTGCATGCTTGTTTATCTTATGCCATGTTGATTTCACTCTTTTTCTCCAAATTTTCAATTTCAAAACATGACTAACAAAACCTTTGGAAAATTATAACACATGGACCCTTGCATCCTCCTAAGCAGGTGTCAAGAATCCATACCTCCTTCTTCCCCCCTGCTATAACCAATTTGGAAGCGCCCGATTAAACTGAATCACATGATGTACATAATTTCTGTCGCAGTGTTGCGACAGCCAATCAGATTGCGAGTTCTTAATCGGGGAAATGCTAACTGCTTATAGCAGGGGTAAAAATAAAGAATATATTCTGGATTTTGAAGCCCTGTGATCGGAGGATGGGATTCTTGAAGCGGGCTGTTGTTATTACATGCTAGGCAAAGTGGTTGTCATGGATATTAATTAGTGTTTTAATAAAGAAGAGGGAGCCAGATCAACATTTGCCAAAAACTTATTAACTAAACAACTAATTTGATTTTAGAATGAATCCCTTTCACCAAAAATGTAAATGAAACATTGTAAGTCAAATCATTTTATCAAATCAAAAATGTTTGGCGGAAGAAAGTATCATCCGTCATCTACTTTATTTTATTTACTCCCCCTTTGAACATTTTTAATAGAGTTCATTTTTAATAGAGTTAATGGCAAACATTGATACAATGACTTTGTCCTTTTTTAAAAGGCAAAGACAAACATGAGAATTCTGTGAACCACCTAAAGTATGAGTACCATCAAATGTGTGAATACAACCAATGTGGGAGTACTACCACTGTGTGAGTACCACTAGATGCACGAGCACCCCTTTATGGGTGCACTATATATATCTAGACTAGGTGACTACTGAATGTTGTGCGCCACGTTTACCATACCTGAATCTGCTCGAAGGGCACCTCGAAGGAGAAGGACTCATTATAGTAGGGGTTCAATGTACATTTCTTGATTGTTGTTTTCTTCTTCTTAATACGTTTCCCATTTAGCATCAACGAGAGTTTAACATAGGGATCTGTGGAATCAAAACATGCATGTTTACTTATAGAACTAGCGGCCATATTGATTTCTTTTCTCAAACACGCCTGATGGGATAGGGGAGGGAGAGCGACATACAGAACAGCGAGAACAGCCAAACTGTCAATTTCTCAATCATTTGCACAAAATATTTGACTCCTGGTGGATAATTGGATTCCAATAAAAAAGTAGCCACGAGTTTTTGTTGATTTCTTTTTACAAAATTATCGCATACAAACATGTGCAGAGGATTAAGGGAAATTACAAGTTTTGGACAACACAATATCATTGTTCTCAAAAAATGCTGTTGAATCGTTGTCTGTCTGTCTCCTAGGTTGCGCAAGAAACATAAAATGAAAGCTGAAATCATGAAGTAATGAAAGTAAAAATATACAAAAAAATGATTTCTGTTTCATTTTATCATTCTTAATGACACTAACACCTTTATAACAAAAACAAGTTAGTCAAAACATATAAACACCCCAGCTCAACGGGTCCATCTGCGCAAAAAACATCTCATAAAAAGCCCAAAACAACATCAATTATTCATAAGCAAATAAAATGAATAACAAGATTGTAGAAATCATGCATCCTTGCCTGGACCGATTACACACATGCAAAAATGATATTCCATAATCCCATGCAAGTCGGCAGCTCCCTCTAATGGGAGACTAAAGCACTACCTGAATTTGCTCGAAGGGGACTTCAAACGTAAAAGATTCATTGAAGTAAGGGTTCAATGTGTGTTTCTTGATTGTAGTTTTCTTTTTCTTCAGTCGCTTACTTCCCTGATACAACGCTATCTTGACGTAGGGATCTAAATTCATGGAAAATCAACATTTAATGTAACCTTGGCATCCTTTATCAGCAGGATATACCAGTTCACGGATCCAATGAAATAAGCTTCAAATAGTTTTAATCAAAGAGGCACCAAAAACTTGTTTTCATTGTTTTAAAAACCTTTTTTTGGCTCATATAACACACTATTTGCATTGTCAACTTTCCAAAAAGATAAAAATTTCTGACTTTATTTCAACATTTAATTCTTAGCGTAATTTGGCACTAATTTTCTTGATAATGTGGACATTCCTTTTAAAATACATATGAATTTAGACATTCTTGGCTATTAAATTTTCTATGACTTCTATCAAATATTTCATCAGACGTCTCACTTCTTTTTTGATATGGAAAATCTGATTGAAAAAGAAATATTGGCATGCTTTTTAAAAATATTTCTAACATTTTGCACATTTTTCTTCACTGCTACTTTAATGAAAAAAGATTTTTTAAAATGGAGAATTAGATTTAATAATTAAAACATGGGTCTGGCAATAAAAAACATATTGTATATTAAAAAAACTGAAATATTCATATTGAGAAAATCATATAAATGTGAAGAAAATAACATATATGAAATAAAGTGAAAAGATCTGACTTGGTGGGAGTGAATATTTGAAAAAGTTATGATTGGTTAACTAAAATCTATATTTGTGGAAGTGAATATTCAAACAACTGTGATTGGCAAACTATATCAATGGTTTGGAAGTGAATAATTACAGGATTGTGATTAGTCATCTATATATTGCATATCTAGCTACAATTCACCCACTATGCAATAACTATTCTCTACTTTGCAAATTTACAATAGAAGAGGTTCTATTTGGATTAAATTGTATCCTATATAGGGGGGGGGGGTCTATCATATGACCTTATAAAAACTAAATACTAAACTAAATTTCCGTACATTTTCAAAAGTATAAGGGATAATATCAAAGAGGATTGGAAGCCATCATTCAAACTTGGTACTCTATTGCCTGGCGTTGACCAATCTGGTAACAGTATTTCTCATATTTTGAAGACGAGAACTGCTGAGAAAGCTTGCATACTAACATAATATTTGTAATGACCATCCTCAACGAAATACTTGGTCCAAAGAGAACATTATTGAAATATTTTACCAAATTGTTCCACTGCAGGCAATAGAATATTGAGTTTGAATAATAGCTGCCAATCCTCCCCGGGACAATATCGAAATTCCTTCAGTTTTGGGGGTCTAAAAATGCTCCTTATACCTCATACTGATAGACCCCCCCCTCATATGTGAACATGTATGTTTGTCCCAAGGATTGTATCCAAATATTAAACCTATTCCACTACTAGAGTTATTTGTCTAGTCTATTCTACAAATCTATGTTACATACACATAGTGCATCTTCATAGTTAGCCTATCCAACTGACATATATGGATTCATTTCAACTTCAATAGAATCATTGGCCAATTCATTGTCAAATCATTGTAGTTTCATTGTTACAGTCAAGTGTGGATGTCTTGGAAAATATGACTGGATGAAAATATGAGTCATTGAAATAATGACTATCAAGATAGGACACCATCAAAGTATGACTGGATGAAAATATTACTCATTGAAATTATGACTATCAAAATAGGACTCCATCAAAGTATGACTAAATAGTAAAAATAGAAATTATGACTCAATGAAAATAGAACTCAATGAAATATGTCTTGATGAATATATGGCTTGTTGGAAATATGCCTGAAAATATGATTCGATGAAATTATGACTGATAAAAAATGACTTCGTGATAATATTTTTATTGACTCATTGAAATTTTGTCTCAAAAAATTATGGCTGTAAAAATATGACTTTATAAAAAAATATGTCGACGAATATAGGACTTAATAAAAATTATGAATCCATGAACATTTAATTCCATGCAACTTGATATTCTGGATAAAAGTTGAACTTTTAAACGTTCAGGCCAAGTATTCCATTCGAAGCTGTAATGAACTACAATGTTAATGTACACCCCCTTCCAAAAATTTGGCAACCCAAAATCCTCCATTTGACTACATGTTAGAGCCTGCTTAATGTTTAACAAGTTATAAGAAATACACACTTGTTAGAAATTTCTGGCTGAATGAAAGAGGCTTAGACATGCCAAACAATGGGAAAATTGAAGTTGTCAGACTTTTGAAGAGGGGTGTAATACAATACATAACAGCATGGACTTTCAAGCCCATGATGACAGTAAAAACAATTATTTCAATGAGTTTATCAGAAGAATTATAACAAATTCCATATTAACTTCAAAACTATATATCAAACCAATCTTTATAATTTTTTATCAATGTTCTGGAAATTGATCAATTATATATTGCAAGGCAGTCTGGTACACTGCCACAGAAAAAGCTAAAATTTCTTGTCTATTTTTCTGTATGTTGTGTTCAGGACTGTAACAAACTAAACGAAATATTATCTCAGAAAAATTCAAAATATGTCTACTTTTGTAGACAAGTCTCAAGAGTTTGCAAAGGTAATTGAGGGGAGAAAGACCCCTTGAAATAGCTATAAATACCTGAAAGACCACCAACGTCCATTTTCTTCAGGTTTTTGGCTTCAAGAATGACTATTGTCAATTTGCCGGCTGTCGGCACGTATCGGAGTGAGAAGCATATATCCCCAAGTTTATTCTCCTGTAAAAAATAGAGTTTTAGAAAATAATAGAGAGTAATACAAAATAGAGAGTTTGAAAAAGAGAGCTTTAGAAAACAGAGAGCTCTGAGAATCGGTATTTTATCAATATAAGAATGTACAGTACAATTGATTGAATGAACAGACTTATCTTATTTTAATTATGAATTTGATTTTTGATGTAAAAAGAATAAAATACTGAAAAAGATTATCATATGATAAATGATAATAAAAATCAATGATCTCCCTGGCAACCAGGTGCGAAACCCTGTTAAAAATGTGATAAACACGTGTGACATGAAAAAATCTTTTTGCACCATGTTAAAAAGATAACATATTAGGACCAAAGCATGTAAAATTAAGTTTTGCACTTAATTATTAGAAACAGGCAGATCACGTACATCACATGATGAAAGATATAAAACTGAAATATCCTATTGTCAAGCTGAAAATAAAACAAAATCATTTTAATTCTGAAAAAGAAAAAAATCAGGTACTTAGTTGTGTTCTACTTAAAGTAGTATATGCCTCTATATATGCCTCCATTTTATGCCTCTCTTTATGCCTCTATGTAATTACCCAAATGCGAGTAGGTAGTTACCAGTTTCACCACCAGGTGGCTGATTCGGGTCAATTAACATGGCAGGTATATAAGAAAGTTCCCTTAAACTTGAATATTATCAATTATAAGTGGCTCAATTTTCATATAACCCTTATGTGTCTAATACTTATACTAATGAAAATATGTCCAGTAAAGCAAAATATTATCTGTCCACTAAAATAAAAGATATTTCATTCTTTGTGATTTTATAGCATGGGGTCTATGGGGAATCTCCCCGAGCTAGAAGTCACATTTTCAAAGAAAAGTAATTTTTCAAAGTTGATAAATACTGTTTAAAACCACTTTTCTAGATGTAATTTTACATGTAGATTTCAAATATGATATTACTTTGACTGAATTTTGAATTTTTAATGACGTATTTCTACTCGCATCTGGGTTATTGGGCCATTAATCTGGAATTAAAATCAAATTCAGAGCTGTATTATCAAAAATATCCTGAAAAATAAACTAACACAAAAATCAGTCCAAATACAAACAAAGAGTTTGGCCTCCGTTCTTCTCCCATAGATAACGTCATAACATTTTATAAACTTGCCGTGGAATATGGTGTGGATTTAACGTTTCAAATAATTTGTTTGGTGACAGAAATGATAGTCCCTAAGTTAGTAAAATACCCCTTTTAGCCTAATTTTCCCTGATGTTTTTACTGTCCAGAATTTGATTTAGCTATCATGCTGAGATTTAACCTCTATATCAAAAGTAATTATACAATCACGACGGAACTGTCCAGGAGTGGCCAACATTGACACAACCCTCTCCACTGATTGGACTCTGGCTTGATGAGATCTCCATAGTAACAAGAACATTACTATACTAATTGAATACAATATCGAACAAAACACTCAATCAGCCGGGTGCCGGATCGAAGCAAATGTGACCCAGGCATAAGATATGATTACCCTATATATATTACCTGTTGATCTTTTAAATTTCACCTTTATAATTGCATTTAGGTCTCTTGGTATAATGCTCTTAGTAGGCTAATTTCACCCACGATTCCAATTACTTTGAGACACTCCTCTATGACCTTTAGATAGTTTTATGGCAGAATCTTAACCACCTCAAATGTAGTTTAATAGCTTTTTGAGAGTCCGCTGTGGAATAACTGTTAATTTCTCATAGGCAGAAGGTGTGTTAAGATATTCCATTTCTGATTAGATATCACAATTATCTTTAATGTAACTCTAGTGAAATTAAAGTCCATGCCATGTTTTGCAGACTAACACATAAGTTACGTAAACCTCCTTTGACCTATCTTGAAATTTATTATGAGGGAATGATGGGAACCTACCCTCATTATAATGAATTAAGGGAGTTATGCCTTGGTCACATTTGCTCCGATTTTCACTACGGCATTCCGCCGATTGAGTATTTTGTTCAAAATTGAATACAATATTGAACAAAGCACTCAATCAGCCGGGCGCCAGGCGATGGATCTGTGCAAATGTGATCAAGGCATAATTAGGGCGTGTAATCAGTAAGTGTAACATTTATATAGCACCACCACCTAACATGCAGTAGATGTGCCAAAAACCATTAAGCTGAAACATTAAGCTGAAACTTAGGCTGACACATTTGGCTATCATTCATTATAGCCCCATTTTACAAAAAATACTGAATTATTTTTCAAAAGATTGATTGTAAGTGTTGATTTACAGAAAACATCCGATTGAATTTTTTCTTAACTTTTTTCCAAAGACTAATGTAAAACAGAAATTTTGAAAAATGCAGGCTTTTCTGTGAGAGCGCCCTGTCTGTACATAACATTGTAAATAGGGCCACCACCAACATAGGGATACATCATAGCCTACAAATATGAAAACATGATCATACATGTTTGTCTTGTCTCAAGCCTGGTAGCCCCCCTCTAGTAGCCCCCCTCTTGCAATCTCCCCCTTGGTAATCTCTCCTCTGGTAAATATGCCTCTCGTAGCCCCCCTCTAGTGACCCCCTTCTAGCAATCTCTCTCTGACATTCTCCTCTTGTGACCTCCCTTTATACCTCAACTTTGGTTACTTTCCCTGGTAGCCTCCCCTTGGTAATCTCGCAATCTCCCTCAATCTCTCTCTTGGTAGTCTCCTTCTTGGTGATCTCTCCCTTGGTTAACTCCCTCTTGCTAATCTCCCCAAGGTTAATCTCACCTCTGGTAAGTCCACCTCTAGTAACCCCCTCTAGTGACCCCTTCTAGCAATCTCCCTCAATCTCTCTCTTGGTAGTCTCTCTCTTGGTTAACTCCCTCTTGCTAAAATCCCCCAGGGTAATCTCACCTCTGGTAAGTCCACCTCTAATAACTCCCTCATAACACTCTTCTAATGACCCCCCCCCCCCTTCCTAGTAACCCATGGTAACCCCCTCTGGAAACCTGCCCCTATCAGAGCCTTGTTTGGACCACTCTTTTAGAAAGAGACAGGACGAGGGAGGGGGGGGGGGAACACAGGTCTTGATAGAAGACTATAAATATAACAGTTCAATGTAGGATACATCACAAACATACAATTAAATGTACAAACATACAATAAAATGTACATACAATTTGATATCAACAATAAAAATAGAAGCCCCATCTCCTGAGCAACACATATTTCTGAAAATTATTCAAATTAGGCTATATGCATATAAACAAAAGCCGTATCTGCAACTGTTTACAAACAGTAATAGCATACAGAAAAATTCCATAGTTTCTTTTAAATGAATATATTGATGTTACCATATGCACAATGCATTCAATTACCATATGCCATAGAAATTACCATTTACCATATACATAATTGCATTAAATTACCATGCACCAAATATATCCAATTATTTGCTTGAAAAATACAATACACAATATATTGACTGAATTTTACAATGGCAGGGGCATAGTTAGGCTATTAGACAGGTTAGGCTACTCCTCACCAAAATTTTACTGAATTTTTTTTAAACATTTTTGAGAGCAGAAACTGGGTATACCTATGGGTATAAAAACCTATAAAAAGGTATACCTATCAGTAGTATACAGGGTGTTCTAAAGGTAACAGGACTGGTGCTGTCATTTTGTCAATTCTGCACTGAGCGTCTTCAAATTTTTTAATATATTTTTCTTAATATCTGTTTTGCTTTAAGTTTAGCCTCATCTTTCAATATCTGCCCCATCTATCAATATTTGCCTCACCTTATTAAAATTTGCCTCGCCTAATAGATAATGACTTTGCCCCTGATGGAATTGTATAATCCAGTATTGAATGAACATATTAAATGCAGAAACACAACCAATCTGACTACACATTATTTAGCATTCAACACACAACAACATCATATGTCATGCTGAAAAACACACAACTCCTCAACAAAAAATAAAAAATAAATAAACAAAAAAATTGACAACATCAATACAAGAAACATAGAAAGAAAAAACGAAAAATGAAATTGGAGACACGAGAGAGCACATGATTAAATGATGGAAACATTCTTGAAGGAAATATATGTGGGGGTCTCATGTTGCATTCCAGGGGATACCTGCTTTGAAGGCTAATACTTCATGAGCAAAGTAATTCAACGACAAGAATTGGCTTCATTTAGAGCTATCACATATGAGGAAATGAATGACAACTCAAAACATATTCGAAATTGAGATTTGTCAGAGAAGCCAGATATGTGTGGGGGCCACACGTTGCATTCCAGGGGATTTCTGCCTACGGCTAATACTTTATGAGCAAAGTACTTTAAGGACAAGACATGGCTTCATTTCGAACTATCACGTATGAGGAAATGAAAGACAACTCCAGACATATTTGAAATTGCGATTTGTCAGTGAAGCCTACAAAACCTAGCAAGGCTTGTAAATTGATAATGTTTAATTCAATAATCTAGCTAAAAGCCCATGTGACCCCCCCCCCAAATACACACCTCCCCACAAGTGAGAAGTAAGTGTGTGAGAAGATGTTAGTCTTTAATATCAAATAAAGATCAAATAAAAATTATTGAAAAGATCATTGAATAAAATTGAATAAAAATTACTGAAAAAATTATCATTACTGAATAAAGATTACTGAATAAAATCACTGATAGAATAAAGGTTATATTTGTAATATTGAAGTGAAAATAGAGACTCAGATAATGACCTGAGATTGTGTAATCTAATATCAAATGATATTAATAATTTGAGCTTATATTAAAGTCAATGTGACTGAATTGCATTACTTATTGATGACTTTTGATATCAAATAGCAATAGAATTTTTAACCACAATCCGTTATTACTTTTTCATTTCTAAAAATGTTTTCTTATATCTAATGTTTGAAGGTTTGTGGATAAATAAAATCTGGGTGACCATAAGATATGCCAAATATCTATCCTTTGAGGGAGGGTATTAAGGATATATCAAATGTCTGAATAAGATGCTGGTACAATAAACCCTGTATTATATAAACATCTTTCTAACCTAATATCTGAGTAGGGAAACCAACTTTGGATGAACTTTAAAAGTCAATTGACCCTATGGACAATTTTGGTATCTATGGAAATGTGACAATTTGTAGGTATAGGACACTGATTGTGAACACTATATGGTCCTATTTTTAATGTGCCATAGACTTCCATGTTACGTTGGTCAGTCTTAAAATAGTTGTTCAAATTAGACAGGTTCTACTCTACTTGAGTTCACAATCAAACTATCATTCAAAACGGTTTATATTTCAAATGCACACAATGTTGTAAAAGGGAGGGGGGGGGGGTCTGTCATGTCCTTTGGGGCTCAAAAGATTTTATCCATGATAGACCCCCTAAACTTAAATCAGACTGACACTGTATCTAGTTCCAAATGAGCAATCAACATCAATAATAAACACTACAAAAAAGGAAAAATTATAAAATAAAATACAACATGCTAAAAGGTGAGTGACGGAAACTAGGCTGCTAGTACATCTAACACTCCATAGGTGGCGCTAAGTACCTCCTGTTCAGGGCTTTCGAGATCCCGCCATTCCTCCATGGGGGCGGCTAAGTCAATCTTCCCTAGGGCGATTTTCAAATTGCCGATTTCATCGTGCTTGGAAAAGCGATCGAAATCATAGACCTTGAGAACTAGCGTCTTTTGACCGATTTCAGCAAATGGAACGTTCTAAAAGAGAAAACAAACAAACAAGGTTAAGATGGGTCACTTTTGAAAAATATCATACCTTTTCTTCAGCTTCTGGCCGGCCTATATCTCGCCATTCTTCTATGACTCGCCCCAGATCAACTGACGAGAGGGGAACATGGATTTGACCAATACGGTCGTGTTTTGAGAATCGATCAAAATCGTAAACTGCTAAAACTAAAGTTTTTGCTCCTATAGAAGCGTATGGTACCTGCAAAATGAATACAAATGTAATACAGAACAATCAGAACCCAGATGACAATTTATAAAATAATGAATTAATATCAAATATAAATGAACATTTAGACTATCCTTGATTCTCGATTTACTTGATTGATGTTTTAAGTTTTTTATAATGCCATTTTTATAGTACTAATACAACAACATATTATATTCAATAAGGTTAACAATTTATCCAGTCGACCTCTGGAATGGTCAACAGTTGCATAATGTTAGCACTGCAAATACACATTATTCAAAATGCAGTAAATTCATAACCTTGAAAACAAATTCATAACCTTGAAAACAAATTCATTACCTTGAAAACAAATTCATTACCTTGAAAACAAATTCATAACCTTAAAAACAAATTCATTATCCTGAAAACAAATTCATTACCTTGAAAACAAATTCATTACCTTGAAAACAAATTCATAACCTTGAAAACAAATTCATTACCTTGAAAACAAATTAATTACCTTGAAAACAAATTCATTACCTTGAAAACAAATTTTTCATTGAAGACTGGATTAAGTGTCTTTCTATGCACTTTTGTCTCAAATTTCTTCTTCTTGTCGGGAAGTAAGTATACTTTGACATATGGGTCAGAAGTGCCGGACATGTCCATTCCAGGGAGATCAGCCGCTTGGATACAGCCTACAGTCAGCTAAAAATACAATATATTGCATGTTAAAGCATAAAATATCACATGTTAAAACAAAAAATATCACATGTTAAAACAAAAATATCACATGCAGTTATCTCCCAAGGATTTTTTCTCAGGTGGGTGCAAAATTCTCATTTCCACAATTCAGACCAAAATTGGTCAAAATATGCCAAATTTTCATGATTCTTCTCATTTTCAAGTGGGTGCAAATGGATATTTAGGTGGGTGCAAGCCTATTTTCAAAATCTCAGGTGGGTGCTGCGCCAACTTGCTTTAATGCTAGGGAGATCACTGACATGTAAAAACAGAAAATATCACACGTTAGAACAGAAATATCACATGTTAAAACAAAAATTATCACATAAATAACAAAATAACACATGTTTATGGGTACCTACCTGTGGACATTGACAAGAACTTTGTAAAGTTAGAACTCTTAAACCAATCGTTGTAACCATGGATATATCATGATGTCATAGTAATAAGAGAACAATAGGCTAAGCGATTCTTATATTTTACAAAGTTTCTGTTAACCCTTTCCCAACGTGAATATAAGAGGAAAATGTTGGCCTGGTGACGGATAAGTAAGAGCAGCTTTTAGCCTGTTGTGAGAAATGCTAGTGAAACCCCTGTATTGGTCTTCGGGCAAACCTAAAGCATTATGCTCCAGAGGGAGCATAAATTGAGTGTGTTTCCCATTCTCTTCATCAACCCCAGAGATCAATGAAATTAGGGGCTGTCTCATATGTTTCATCAATTTCGTTTAGAGGCTCTATTGTAAGAAGCTGTTCATTTATGCGTACTATTTACTCAAAGAAATCCACATATAAAAAAATGTTTCATTAATAAGGATTTTGAGATACAATATGGAAAAAAGAAATAGATCACATGTAAAATTTAGCGCATTTAGAGACAAGATCTGCTCAAAAACTGCAAATCAGAATATGAAACATGTCTAAATTCTATTCTCATCATTTGAGGTTAGTGTGACTTATTCAACCGAGAACAGCTTTTAAACAAGCCCCTGTAGATAAATACAGAATAAAAACAACTATAATTGACACTGTGGGTGGATCGTTAATATTCTATTCCAGTTTGGTTTCACATTAATCCTAAATGCTAATGGTATAGGAGATATCATTTTATCTCTATAGATACTGTATTTGATAACTATTAAGTAAGAGGAGGATATCCCCCCAGAATCCATAGGTAACCATGTTTCTCTATGTAAAGATGCACTTATATGGAGATATGTTCATCTTTGAATTCTGGGAAATTCCTCATTTTCTATTAAGTCATAGCAGAAAATTAGTTTTCTCAGAAAAAGCCTTTGGAGATATTTAGAATGTGTCAGTGTTTTCCCCACATTAAGATATATTGGGGGTGTAGACCATTTATTAATTCGAAACACCAAAATGTTCCTCTAGTATGGTTTGATGTGCCTACAAAATGTTACCGTGCGAGTAAGAGGTAAGTAATGCCTGGGTCACATTTGCTCCGATCCATCAGCTGGCGCCTGGCTGATTGAGTGTTTTTGTTCAATATTGTATTCAATTTTGAACAAAATACTCAATCTTCCCGGCGCTGTTATGAAAATCGGAGCAAATGTGACCAAGCCATTAGTAGTGTTCAGATGGAACACCGCATTACTGACAATAGAACGACATTCACCCATTTTAAATTCCCGAGTGGAATCAGCCAAATTCCTTCATTAGTGCGCTCCTTCGGTGCCAGGAAAATAGTCCTGAGAATATCCCTATAGTTTGTCAGTCTGAGTACAACAGGGGAGAATTGTTCACACCTTACAAACTTAAATGCCCTGCCTCAATAAATTCCTGAGTATTTTAGGTTTCTTTTCATACTTTTGAATCCCAAATCGTATGCGTTGATCGACAGAATAAGGAAAGTTTTCGTTTTAATCACAATTTTTGCATGTTATTTAACATATTTCAACAGTCAAAATTTGTCCATATATTGTAGTCATATAAATCTGACCCTCGTATGATGTTATTTTTTCTGATTTGGATATTTATTTTTTCTTATTTTCTTGCATACGAGCGACATACACACTTGCCTCATCTATATTGCGGGAAATGCTTTCCTGGCCTGTCTACCCAACCAAATTCACACAAATGATAAATAAATTTCTTTGTTTCAACTATAAAGTATTTAATCTTACCTTAGGCACGTAAAATGCTTGGTAATTGAAGAAATATAAGCATGCCGCTTGAATTTTAAATTTTTTTCATTTTGCCATACCAAGGTCACTTCCGGGTTAATCTGAGTCTAGATGTAAAACTATATCAAACGAAATCATAAGTATTTGTTACACAAAGATTCGGTTGAAAGGGAAGCAGTGTCGTTAAGAAGGGAAGTTATTTAGAAAAGTTATTAATTTTGTTTCAAAATGAGAAAAGTGATAAGTATGAGAGAACGGCTTTGGAATCGATCTCTGAGTGATAAATAATTATGATTCCGTTTCGATACTTGTTTTACATTAAGACTACCGGAAACAACATTTAGCAACATGGCGGGCGATTATGAAAATATAATTCAATTGATTATATTTCGTCAATTATGAAGCGTTTTACATGTCTAAGGTAAGATTTAACACTTTGATGCTGGAGCTAAATAATTACGTGATAATTTGTGTGACTTTGGTTAGTATGGTAACTATGGTTACCAAGACAGGCCAGAAAAGCGTTTACCGCAATTTGTTCCATATAATATCTACGACCGTGTATGCAAAGAAAATGATAAAAAATAAATATCCAAATAAGAACAAGGAATATCAAAGAACAGCATACAACGGTCGGATTTATATGACTAATATATTGGTACATCCAGGCTATGCAGCTCTAGATCCAAATGTCAATGAGTGGTTCTCCTTCTAAAACCTACTGCCTTCTTGGGCATTGGGGTTTCAACTACATAAAAACAATGCAAAATAGTACTCAGGAATTCATTGAGCTTATGTCATTTAAGTTTGTAAGGCGAGGAAAATTCTCCAATGTCGTAATCAGATGGACAAACTATAGGGACGTTCTCAGGACTCCTGACACAGGATAACAGAACGCTATTTATTGTTTATTTACTCACTTAACTAAAATGTTATGTGAAGAAACCAATTTGTGTACATTATTAAATGGAAAAAACAGAATTAAATAACCTACCTCTGATTTTGTTTCACTTTCATCAATTATCACCTGATTTAGAAGTTCAGATTCAGAACAAAGCTGACAATATTCAAAATATGAACGTAATTATTTATTATGAACTGTAAAAATTAGGATTGTTTGTGGTTTAAAATGCTTCGGAATTGGTTCTAAAATTAAATTATGCTTATAACGAACTTTATGATATTGGGAAAAAAAACTGAGAGAGGTTTATGTTTTTATTTTTTTTCAAAATATTTGCTAAATAATCAGTAAATTTTGATACTGACTAGCATTCCGAACACTATTAGTAAGAGGAGTTTCTTTCAAATAGGCCCATGGGTGTTTAATTGAAGAGGGGACTTCTCAATTAATGCCCAGTGGGTTAAAATCATTGAAAATCATTGAAATTGCTTATAATAAAAAACAGCCTGAGAGAAAACAGAAATGGCAAAAATACGACAAAAGGCCACATATCGGTCAACATTCATGATTTTAAAATTTGGTCTCTTTTGAATATATTTGGGAAAATGTATTTGTTAGATGAATTTGGGTATATGCATTTGGGTATAGGTTTTCTTTAAATATTTTTGAGCATAGGATTCCTTTATCATGAAAACATACCTCTCCTTTCTGGAACTCATAGTCCAAGGAGAACTGCAGCTTGCCCAGTTTCTCCACAGACTTTGTACTTTCAGCATCCTCATTATCCTCCATGTTGACCTCTAGTTCTTCAAGGTCAGGTTGAACCTGCAAGGTCAAAGGTCATATGATAGGTTAAGTTCATTCAAGATATCTTACAATTCAACTGAGTCAATTTCATCATATTTACATATAAAATACTGTTTTATAATATTCCTAGTTCATTATTAAGTTCGAACAAAGATTCAAAACAGTAATACGATTCCTGATGGGTCAAGGTCATATGTGAAAGTTCAAGGTCACTTGACAAAGACAAACAATATAACATAATTGTACAGATTATGATGGCTTGGTAAATAGCAATAGCGTTTCAGCCACATTCTTAAACCTTAAGAAATCTTTAAAACAATGGGTGAACATGGTCCGATTCTGTCACATAAAACAAACAAACAAACAATTCAGACATTAAAGTATGCTGATTCCAATAAATTGTTCAATCCATTATCAAATTGCTGAGAATGTAAAATGATGTGAAATAGGAGGTTGGTAAGTATCATAGGTTTAGTCTATACAATAATATAAAAAATACTATATTAACAGACTTAACATAATAAACGTGATATATTCCTAATAGAGCTCAACTGAAGGTTCACATGATTTCCCCTGTGGTTCAAACAAATCCATGTTCAACGAATATTGCCACAAATCAAAAGGAAGTTGTTTTCTGGCTAAAATTATGTATTTTTTATATCATTATACTGTACATATCCATTAACATATCATCTTTCATTGATTTGATTTCATCGAACTAAAATATTCTCAACTTTCATTATTTTATTTTTTGGAATAAATACAATTTTTCAGCCGAATAAAAAAACAAGACACACATCGTAAAAGATGGCGCTGGGGGAGTAGAATGGCTATAATGAAAATCCCCAACAATTCCCAAAACCTAATCAGATCTTGGAACCCATCTGCGAAAAGCATCCGTAAATATTTCATACTAAATGGATGAGAGTTTTCTTAATTGCAACATCCCAATGACAATATTCATATTGGCTAAGCCTACAAACAGCAGATAACGAACAAAGATACTAGTTTTCCGTAATTCTGTACAAGATGACAAAAATGTAGCACTTTTCAAGTTTGATTTAAACAGAACAACAATGATATTAATCATATACAATTAATCAAACCCAGTAAACCATATACAATAAACCAAACACAATAAATCCTATACAATGAATCAAGAAACAGCTGCTGGCAATAAATACCTAATCGATAATGAATTCAAAAACAAATAAAATTGACAATGACCTCACAAACTATAATTGTTTGAAGAGCAGGTTATTGATTTCGCTGTCTGAATCTGAATCTATAATAATATCTATACTAATTGTGTGTATGATGCATCTGTTTTTGTAATCTCCTGTCCTGAGCATTTAGAGGTGGTGCAATCTGTTGAAAATGGGGAAATTATATGCCGCCCTGTTGAAGTACATGTTATATTGTCACCCTGTTGAAAGTCTGAGCATTCCATGTCACACCGTTGAAAGTTGAGAATATCTAGGTGACCATGTTAATATATAGAGATATTTTGTCCAAACCATGTCAAATTATGATATTATGAACACCTTGTTGAGGAAAAAACCTAAGAGGATCGATGTGTTTACTTTTTTAGGTTCATTTTGGATAACTCTACATCTCCTTTTAGATTTGTCTTTCAAAAACCAATGCTGTTAAATTATGCAGTGCAGTAACCATGTCTTATTATGTTGTTTTGCACCTAGCAATAATGAAATAACTGATCCTGAGTCAAAACTTTCTTTATAGGATAACAGCCATTATGTATTTATTGCCCTTATTCTCAAAAAATTGCAAATAATTTTTCATATTATTTTATAATCCATAGGATTGTGCCATATAGTAATCATACACATGCTATCGTGAAAAAAATAGCAAAACACTGAAAATTACAAATTACATTTGTAATTACACACAGGCATTATGTTCTGTTACCAGTGTTATTAAATGTGATAAAGACGCAGGTGGTGATACTATTTCTACAAGGCCATGGTAACATGAAATAAGAGCTGAGATGAGAGAGTTCTATTCATTTCCACAGTCTAGTCTCTACTATCTCTGGAAGTTAGGAGACGGGGAGTCGTTTAGAAGCCCTAGATATTTCTGCATCTTATATATTACATTAGTACCATATATGGCCAGAAATCTTTTAGATCTTTTAGGATCTGAGAAACATCTTCATGAAAAAAGGAGGACGGTTATGCTCCATGTTTTCAATAAAATTTGTACATTAACACAGTTATGCAGAATTATAGTCCTATAGGGATCAGTTCTCCTTTCATAGAGTTATTTGGATGATTGAATGTAAAGGTATAAGGAAAACAAATGTAATTAGGCCCCTAGAAAGAACAATTGAGTTGTGTACAGTATGATCCCTGGGGGTCATAATATGACACGTTCACAGTTCTATTAATAAAAACGTGTAGCTTAACCTCCATATTATTTGTTTCATGCTGTATATCAATAAGGCTCTAGCTAGCTCCTGATATATTGTCTTGTTTGATCTTAGGAGTTGATTGCTTCTCCAGGTTGAAAGTCATCAATTATTTTACTGTCTTGGAGGATTGACTTGACATCTCATTATTGAAGGATGAACATGACATCACATGACATCACATTATCTCATGCTAACTTGATAATTTGATACAAATAAGAAGTCAAACTGAGTATCATTGCAAGGTCATGGTCTATCAAGGTCAAGGTCATTTTCTGAGTGAAGAGTTTTTGATTGGATAAAGGTGAGATCACTAGTTTTAAGAGTATAGATGTCATTTAGCTCTGAAGATTAACTTAGAGGGTGAAGATCATTCTAGAATGTTTCTACCCTTTGCATTCGTTCAACTTCACTTCTTAAAAGAGAGCTTCGTCTGTAGTTTAACTAGACTCTGCATGTAGGTAGAATGTTTCTCAATTATCAGTGAATTAATCCTGAGAATTACTTCTACAGTAAAACCTGATACAGCGAGTTCATTAATAATTTATTGAAATGCACATCTTTATGATAAATAATTCAATATATATACAGCTAATGTTTGTACAATTCAATAAATTCAGAGCTAGGAGTCATTCAAACACTATAATAAATTCAGGGCTAGGAGTCATTCAAACACTACAATAAATTCACACCCATAAGTTGAGCTGCTAACCCAAAAGTTATCTTCTAAATGAGTAATCTACTTTGACAAATGTACATCTGTATGGTAGACACCTCTGTCAATAAATTCACAGCTGTTAAATGAATACCATAATAATGTGAATGAAATACCAAATTAAAAAAAGATTCACAGTTGAAAGTCAAATGTCCGAAACTTCTTGGATTATATAGACATTGTAATATACATATCCCAGGATAAATTTTTCTCAATAAGACTTGAACTTGTCAAGTAAGTTTGTTAAAACCCACAGCTGCAAATTAAAACCTCTCAATAAATTAACAGCTGCAAAGAAAAAACACCTCTATGAGTTTACAACCTTAAATTGAACGAATAATTAGATATTTAAAATAGATTAATTGAAACAGAAAACATTATCCATTAATAGAATCAGTCATCATCATATCATTGAAATAAAAGTGCTAACATCAGATAAATAGAAATTAAAATCGATACAGGATATCTTGAATTAATTGTTCAAACGTGTAAAATGGCTCAATGACGTCAATCCAATTGTTAAACCTAGCGCCATGTTTCTTTTATTCAATCAATCAAACAGCAGCTTGTTTAACATCTGGAGTTTGGCTTAATATACAGTAGAACCTGTCTAATCAAAATGCCATTGGGACATTCAAAACGTTTTCAGAATACAACAAAATCTCTCATCCAAATGCCACTGGGACATTCAAAAAGAGTTCAGAATACAACAAAATCTCTCATCCAAATGCCACTGGGACATTCAAAAAGAGTTCAGAATACAACAAAATCTCTAATCCAAATCCCACTGGGACATTCAAAAAGTGTTCAGAATACAACAAAATCCCTAATCCAAATCCCACTGGGACATTCAAAAAGTATTCAGAATACAACAAAATCTCTCATCCAAATGCAACTGGGACATGCAAAAAGTGTTCAGAATACAACAAAACCTCTAATCAAAATGCCACTGGGACATTCAGAAAGTGTTCAGAATACAACAAAATCTCTAATCCAAATGCCAATGGGACATTCAGAAAGTGTTCAGAATACAGTAAAATGTCTCATCCAAATGCCACTGGGGCATTCAACGTGTTCAGACTACAGAAAAATCTCTCATCCAAGGGAACTGCCTGGGGCACAATGCACCAAAACAGCCAGATTGATTTGGCTTTCCAATAACATGTATATTTGTTAAGCTATTATGACTCATAGCTATAGAAAAAAACATACTCCAAAGGCAGTAATTGTGGTGTTACTTTGGGCAAAATGGGCAAAGTACCAAGAATGATTGATTTGTCTTTCAGAAACATGTATTTGTTGAGCTATTCTGGATCATAGCTAAAGAAAAAAACACCTCGTGGGCAGTATTTTCAAAATGGTGGATTTACATGGGGCAAAGTACCAAGAATGATTGATTTATCTTCCAGATAACACATGTATATTTGTTAAGCTATTCTGACTCAAAGCTATAGAAAAAAAAACATACCCAATATGGGCAGTAATGGTGGTGTTATTTTGGGCAAAATGGGCAAAGTACCAAGAATGATTGATTTGTCTTTCAGAAACATGTATTTGTTGAGCTGTTCTGGCTCATAGCTTTAGAAAAAACACCTCGTGGGCAGTATTTTCAAAATCAAAAGTTTGGTGGGAACATGAGCAAAGGACAGATTGATTTGTATCTCCGATAACACGTATTTGCTCAGCTATTCTGGCTCATGGAAAAATGCACCTCTGTGCAGGTCAATATATTTACTCTCTGTGTAAATACTCTATTACCGTGTTTTCGTCGGACTCCCCCTCATAATCAATGTGGCTTTTAATGCATTAGTTGATTCCGTCAAAGGCAATAATACTATTGACGTACAACCTGCATAAATGGATATATATGAAAAC